TCCCTTTCCGGTGGCACAAAGGCCTAGCATGGACTTGGAGGCTATGGAGAAAATGAAGTGTGTGTGTGTGTGTGGGCGGGGGGGGGGGGACCTTGATAATTCATCCAAGGCCAGATTATAACCTTTAAAGGCCCTAGAATCTAAAAAAAAAAAAAAAAGGCATTTTACATCCAGTAATCCAAAATAAAAACAGCATTTACTAAAATAGCATTAACTGCACAATAAATGTAAAAAACCCCAAAGAGTCCTGATTTTCCCCCTCCCTCCTCCCCAGCCCTCAATGCTTAAAAAAAAAATCAGATTCCTTGGTATCATTGCTTTAGTGGCCCTCTTAGCCCACGCTTGGTGGGCCAGTCGTGTGCCCCAGCGCTGATGACATGGCATACCCACCTGCAGATCCCCGGGGTTGCCCATCATCAGGTTCAATGACTTAGAAGGCTGAAGGGAGGGAGGTTGGTCTTGGGATAGTTTTTGCTGGATCTGGAAGAGCCGGCACATCGTTAGATGCACTCGTTTGCTACTCCTGCTTAATGAGCCACCCCGATTCCATGGCGCACACAATGGGCAGTTATCATGCTCACAGGCGTACAGACCAGCCAGGCCCTTGTGCATCACTCAGGCTGCAAGGTTGGTGTGGGCGCTGCTCTGCTTTCTTTTATTCTCCCAGGACCTGTGGGCTAACCAGGGCATGTTTTCTCGTGGTAATGGCAGGCGTGGACAAGGGGTGAGCAGAAGCATATGAGCCTGGGCTCAGAAACGGTGCCATCACCTCTACCCACATTCCACTGGCCGAGGCAGGCTACATGACCAAGCTCAGCGTCAGTGAGGTGTGGAAATAGTCTTCACCTTGAATGGAACTGCTGGGTCACCTGGCAAAGTGCAGGGATTTAGCGAGCGGGGAGAATGGAGAGTTTATACAATAGAGTTGCTACGTCAGTTTTGGCACTTCCTACCGAATCTGGTAGGAATGGACGGACATGTCGTTCGTGATCTGTAGGAAGAGAAGGCTGGCTGATGTCTCTTCTGATAGGATGGAAGTCCTTTGAAAGCTTAGTTTATAAACTAAGTTCCATAATGATCAGGACAAGGTGTGTCTGGTTTGCTTCACGTGTTTAGTAAGTGCTTTTTGATTACATGGTGTAAGAATATATGTATAGTTATGTATCTGCACATAGACATAAAGGGGTAAAAAAGTTGAACATATCTGCCTATAAAGAAAGGGGGGGAAAGTGTAATAAAAATACCAAATTGGAGTCAAGAGACAGGGATTCCAGTCCTTCCTCTGCTTGTAATTAGTTCTTCTGCCACCTTGTGCAAGTCATTTTTCAATGGGCCTCAATTTCTTCATCTGTGAGATGGGATGGATGATCAGGTTAGATTTTCTCTAAGGAGCTCCCATGTCAGTTTCCTAAGATGCCAGGATATGGTTGCTCCGGCTGCTGATGGGTCCCATTTCTATTGGCTGGATAGGGGAATCTACCTCTGCACGCCCCGCCTCCACCTAAAGGAGAAACTCGTTGTATCACACTCACCAGTGTGGATGTAAATCCAAGCCCTGTGAACAGGTTACAGGGAGCTGTGAACACTCCCTACAGGCTACAACCTGAGAGGGGATCATCTGGCTGGATTCAGGGTAACTGGTTATGACAATCCTTTCTTCTGAGGGCCTGTGGCTGTCACTGACTCCAAGCTTCCAGCATTACAGATAACAGTGACTAGTTACTAGTGCACTAGTCTGATCTCTTTTAGCTTGCAAGTAATTCATTCCTCTAGATCCGTGGTCGGCAAACTGTGGCTCGCGAGCCACATGCGGCTCTTTGGCCCCTTGAGCGTGGCTCTTCCTAAGCCTTAGGAGTACCCTAATTAAGTTAATAACAATGCACCTACCTATATAGTTTAAGTTTAAAAAATTTGGCTCTCAAAAGAAATTTCAATCGTTGTACTGCTGATACTTGGCTCTGTTGACTAATGAGTTTGCCGACCACTGCTCTAGATAGTTGTAAAATTGTTATCCTTGAGGTTCAATAGTTTTTATAGAGTGTGCCTGGGTGTATGCCTTTGTAGCTCCTGCCTAGAACTTAGTGGCCCCTTTTAATATGCAGTCTTAAGAATTTTTTCAAACTGGAAAATTTCCTCAATTTTTTTTCTATAATTGCTTGCTCTCCTCCCATTACGCCTTCTCCTCTAAACCTCTCATCTACGCCCTCACTATTTCCATTTTTGTCCCATCATTTTGAGTTTCGATGATTCCTTCCACTTGACCTTCCAGCCCACAATGTAGTTTACAATGTTATACTATCTTCCAATTTTTCCATCAAATTTTGAAACTCAAAACTAAAATTTTCTTTTAGCTCCCACAAAAAGTTGTGCCTTCTTGTTGTCATTTTGGTCTTTGAAGCGTGTTTTCCCGTGGCTGCTCATTTTCTCCAGAAGCCTCATGCTGGCGTTGGATCAGAAACATTCGCTGGGCTGTTCCAAGTGCAGAGAACACGCCACGAACACCAGTGAGATCCCTGCTCTCTCGGGAGCCCACACCTGTTGCAGGTGGTTTTCTTTGCTTTCCTCCCTGGTTGCATTTCCTCAGGTACTTTCTTTCCTTTGCCTGCACTTAGCTCTGTCCACCTTGAGAAGCAGCAAACCCCTGGTTTACAGGAGACTGAAGACGGGCTACTTGTCAGAAAGTCCAGCTCCTCTCAAGCCAGGAGGATCTGGGTGGCCCTGAGGTGCATAAACACACACACACACACACACACACACACGAGCCTCCCCTCTATTGCCCCTTGCTCCCACCTGCCTTAAAGGAGACAGTACCCTCACCTGCCCCTTCTCAGGAGACCAAGGCAGACCTGTGATCAGTGCTTCCAGGCCTTGCTTGACTGGAACCATTTTGTTCAGGGGAGGCAGGTGAAGGGGAGTTGAAAGAACACTCCAGGTGTCCTCAGGCTGCCGCCTGTGGCCTCACTAGTGCCTTTTCTCAGAGACTTCAGAGGCCCCCAGGGGCCACCCATCTCCCCTGAGGGTGAGAGCTGGTACTGGGACTGCAGGCCTGGTGGCCACAGGCTGGCTGAGCAGATCCCTCTACTATTCCGGCTCTGTGCTTCTGTAGTTTAAAGTAAAGGGCGCCCTGTCTGGTTTCTTAGGGTTCCCAGCTCTACAGACTGACTGGCTTAGGCTCTGAATGCAGAGCGGGGCCATTTCCAAATGGTCACCTGAGCTCACACCTTTTACTCTCCTCCCTCCACGATGCTTCCTGAATAGACCACAGAAATATATAAATGGAGAACATCTACCTAAATGCCTGGAGGACTAAAGATGCCAGGAGAGTTCTCCACCCACTAGTTTCACAGGCTTCTGGGCACCCTGGGGGGATAGTTCGCACTTTCCTCGGTAGGACCAGGCATCTAATGCTCAGAGCTCATGCTGTGTAAACATTCCTCGACTGAGAAGGGGCTGAAGTATCTAATGCCTCCAAAACACTTCTAGAACAGCACCTTCACAGGCCTCAGGCAGCTGCTCTTTGTCCGAATCAATTTGTGTTCCAAAGTTGTGACTCCTGGACTGTCTGATCTTTGCTTACATAAGGTCTACAACACTGGGCTATTCGCCAGAAACATCACTACCTCCTGGGCTCCTGGGAGAAATGCAAGTTTCCAGGCCACACACCAAATCTGCTAAAATAGTCTCTGATGGGGGTGTTTTAAATGCACAAGGACCACGTGATTCTCAACGCCCCTCTGATCTCACATTACCTAGATGGGGCCGTGGGTGAGCTTCAATAACAGAACAGGCAGTGCCAGTCCCGCTGTGGCAGTTCACACTTGGAAGGGCAGGGCTAGGTGACTCAGCACGGAGGCAGACCCGAGGACCATCTCATTGCAGAGGAAAATGACTGACAGTGCAGGTGTTGAGTGGTCCCTGTACCAGCAGCATCAGCGCTGCCCAAGAACTTGTGAGGAATGCCAGGCTTCAAGCCCCGTCCTACAATTATCCAGTCAGAAATGTCTCAGTTATGCAACCAGGGAGGAAAGCAAATTATCCAGTCAGAAACACAGGGCCGGCATAATTTAAGACTCCTGATGTGTGTTGATGGATGTCCACTGACCTCCTAAGTCCACTAGGTGGCCACTTGACACCCAGAAGTTCACTCCCAAGGACTCTCAGCCCCAGGTCACCAAGACTTTGAAGACATCTAATTGATCCCTATGACTTTATTAGATCTTCCTCTTCCTAATCCAGCTCCTTCAGAGGAGCCCGAGGGCCACATCCCTTCCGTTTCCTCTGGCCGTCTTCCTTGGTAACTGCCTTTCCCACAGGGGACTTCTCTGGAGAGGCAGCACTGGGCCTTAAAGAAGCCCTTCAGTGCAGACACTGAGAGGGAACGCAGTGAACGCCTGAACGGAAACTCCAGACTCCCATCAGTCATCAGGAGAGGGGGCTGTCAGGGATGGGAGCAGCTACCATCACGAGGAGATGCCGAGTCCTCTGACACCCGCTGCTGTCTGTAAACAGTCCAGACGAGAAGGAAAGGCAGACGGTGGGGGTGCTGGTGGAATCAGAACTGAGCCTTCGAATGCAGCTGCCACCCTGGCCCCGCTCAGTCAGGACTCTGTATGCAGAGCGGGGCCATTTCCAAATGGTCACCTGAGCTCACACCTTTTACTCTCCTCCCTCCACGATGCTTCCTGAATAGACCACAGAAATATATAAATGGAGAACATCTACCTATTGGAGAACGGGGATCATCCAGAAACTCGGAAAAATTTCTAGGAAATACAGTGGAACCTAAGATTTTAAACTTAATTCGTTCCAGAGGCTGTTCAAAAACTGGAGCATTTTCCCATTAGAAATAATATAAATTGAATTAATCCATTCAGACCCCCAAGTGATTCCGTTTTAACTTTTCTTATATACAATGCATGTCTAATGTACCGCTTAACCTATAAACACTTGAAAAACAAAAAGAACATGAAATGTAAATGAAAACAAAATGGAATTAAACATACAGTAAATAGTGAAAATTTAATAAGCAGCAACAAAAGCAAAAAAACCAGAACATTCACAGCACAATATCCTGAGATGTTAACAGCAGTAAGCTCTTGAGCATCCTCTCCTTCTGTCACCTGAGAGACAAGTGACTGATCATACAGGGCTCAGGAGGAAAGGGCTGTCAGCTTGAGAGGCAGTGTTTGAGATGTGAGACGTTTTAGAATCGAGGTCTGACTGCAGTGCTTTTGGGACGTGATTGAGAGGGCTGCCTAACTGGTGATGCCACGTGTGCAAAGGTGGTAGAAACCGAGACGTGGACAATATCAGCTCTGTTGCTGAGCTTCTTTTTCCTTATTTCTAGTGAAGTCTGACTTCCCTCTCTTGTCAATGACAGTTGGGACAATTATGTAGGATCTTGAAGCAAACCTCCAAATGGAACCTCAGACCTCCTGACACTGCTGCCTTTTTACAAAAGTGAAGGAGCAGCTTGTCCATTTGTAATCCAAACAAGGCAAAAGGAAGCTGTGCCTGGGTTTCAGCACAGGTCCCTGCTGCTGGGAGAAGAGAGTCAGAAACCCTCTGCTGAAATGAAAGCCAGGTATTGGTCAGCTTTCCACTTCTGCACCTTGCTCCGTTCAGTGAGTGAATAGTGGCAGTTCTGAGAACCAGCACCATTTGGATACCTGGACTATCACTTTTAAGAGGAGAAGAACTAATATTTTAATATTGTTTGGGCATCACATTAGACACAAAATAAAGAACACAAGAAATGTTGTATTTTGATGTCCTAAATGCTGTACTCTTTATGTCCTAAAATTTTTGTGCCACAGCAACTAAAAGAATCAAAAAGCCTGATCTAAAGATGGGGAGTGGGTGGGGGAATCCTCAAATGTGGAAGACTTTACCACAGACAGGACTGTGACTGCTTCGCCAACACCGGTCTCACTAAAGAATGCCTGAAAACTAATGCAGTGATTACAGCTGTTCAGTATATCCTAAGCATGATGATAACTCTAGAAGTCACTCCAACACAGGATCCACGGAGGAATCCAGGCAGTATAAAAGGCTGCTTGCTATCCAGCCAATGCATCTCAGGAGACAGTGGGTCTTCAAGGCCTTCACAAAAAGTATCTGGCACTCAAACGCCAAGTCTACTCAAATAGGCTTCCCAGGCAGCTTTTCTGTACATCTCCGCTGCTTCCAGACGATTGGCTGATGCTATTATACCCCGGCCTACAATGATGATGTCAGAACCTCGTTTGCCAATAATTTCTTGTGGGCTATTGTACTGCTGGCCGAGATTATCACCTGCAGAAACAGAAAAGTTACTATTCAACACAATACAGAACATCAGAAAACCTGCCACGTGACTTTTTGGGGAAAGTATCTAATCATCTTTAAATAACACCATGCTCTGGCTTTCCATGCTCCTTCCGCACAGCAAGTGAGTGAATGCAGGTGAAGAGAGACCCCGGACAGGCTAGAGATATCCACAGTGAAGCAGCTAACCAACTCCTTTTCAGTGTCTAATTGTAGAGCATTTATAGTTTAACAGTATTAAAAAAAAAAAAAAAAGTAAATCTCCTACGAATGCCAAGAAAGGTTCAATACAAAAAAATAAAATAAGACAAAGCCCTTACAATTGAAGGCAATTTTAGTATACACGTCAGAATCACATGCCACACCACTGGGAAAGTCCTCAGAAGGCACTGAACGGGACCACGACCACATATGTGAACCTTTCTGCCGCAACCCCATCAAGTGCTCAGACTATACAGGGGAGCAAAAGTTGGTTTACAGTTGTTCATATGCAATACAATAATCTATAGTAATACGAGAATAAACTCTGTTTCACATACTCACAACTAAAAGCCTACCTTTGCCCCACCCTGTATATAAAGCCTGTTCCTTAATTTTGTTTTTTTCATTCTTTTTATATCTTTTTTTTATTGAGGTATAACTAACATATAACATTAGTTTCAGGTGTACAACATGATTCAATATTTGTATACACTGAGAACTGATCACCACAATAAGTCTACTTAACATCCATCACCTGGCATAATTACTAAATCTTCTTTTGTGAAGAGAACTTTCAAGATTTGGCAACTTTCAAATATGCAATACAATATAATCGACTATAGTTGCCTTGCTGTGAATACATCCTCATGACTTATAACCTTTGAGCCCCATCACCCATGTCTCCCACCCTTCAACCCCTACTTCTGGCAACCCACCAACCTGTTCTCTGTATCAATGAGCTTATTTAATTTTTTGTTTGTATTTAAATTCCACATATAAGTGAACTCGCGTGGAATAACTTCTTGTGGGCTATTGTACTGTCAGTCAGTCTCAGTCTGACTTAGTTCACTTAGCATAATGGCCTTGAGGTACATCCATGTTGTTGTAAATGACAAGATTTCATTTTCATATGGTTGAAAAATATATACATAATTAAAATTTCTTTATCCATCAATAGACTCATAGGTTGTTTCCATATCTTGGCTATTGTAAACAATGTTGCAATGAACATGGGGGTACATATCTCTTTTCAAGTTAGGTTTCTGTTTTCTTAGGATAAATACAGTGGAATTGCTAGATCATATGGAAGTTCTATTTTAAATTTTTTGAGGAACCCTGTTATACTGTTTCTCTTAGTAGCTGCACCAATATATATTCCCACCAACAGTACACAGGGTTTCCCTTTCCCCACATCCTTGCCAACACCAGTTATTTCTTGCCTTTTGATAAGTCATTCTAACAGGTGTGAGGTGCTATCTCATTGTGGTTTTCATTTGTAACCTCCCTGATGATTAGTGATGCTGAGCATCTTTTCATGTATCTGTTGGCCATGTGTATGTCTTCTTTGGAAAAATGTCCAAAGAAGATCAGCCCATTTTTAAATCAGATTATTTGTTTGCTATTGAGTTGTACAAATTTTTAAAAATATTTTATCAGATACATAATTTACAAATATTTTCTCCCATTCAGTAGGATGTCTTTTCATTTGTTAATAATTTCCTTTGCTGTGCAGAAGCTTTTTTGTTTGATATCATCCTGCTTGTTTATTTTTGCTTTTTGGTGTCAGATTTTAAAAAATTATTGCCAAGACCTATGTCAAGGAGTTTAACTTTCTTTCTAGGAATTGACGGTCTTACATTCAACACCTGAAGTGTATGGAGTAAGATAGTGATCCCATTTCACTTTTTTTGCATGTGGCTGTCCAATTTTCCCAAACACATTTTACTGAAGAAACTGTTTTTTATTTTTTAAACTTTTTTTTTTTTTTAATCCTACCCAAGGATATTTTTCCATTGATTTTTAGAGAGAGTGGAAGGGAGAGGGAAAGACAGAGAGAAATATCGATGTGAGAGAGACACATCAATTGGTTGCCTCCTACCGAGCCCAGACCAGGGCCCACGTGGGGAGGAGCCTGCAACTGAGGTACGAACCCAGGACCCTTTAGTCCACAGGCCAACACTCTATCCACTGAGCCAAACCTGATAGGTTGAAGAAACTGTTTTTGTTTTTTTTCTCTGTTGTATATTCTAGGCTTCTTTTTTGTAAATGAATTGACCGTATACATGTTGTTTTACTTCTGAACTCTATTCTGTTCCATTCATCTATGTCTGTTTTTATGCCAATAACATACTGTTTTGATTACTATAGCTTTGTTGTTCTTTCTTAAAACTGCTTTGGCTATTCAGGGTCTTATATGGTTTCACACAAATTTTAGGATTGATTTTTCTATTTCTATGAAAAATGACATTGGAATTTTGATAGGGATGCACTGACTCTGTAAATTGCTTTGGGTAGTATGGACATTTTAATTACATTAATACTTCAAATCCACAAGCACAGAAAATATTTTATATATTTGTTTTCTTCAATTTCATTAATGTAGTTTTCAGTGTACAGGTCTTCCATCTCCTTGATTAAATTTATTTATTTCTAGGTATTTTATATTTTTGATGCAACAATAAACGAGACTGCTTTCTTAATTTCTTTTGCTGATAGTTTGTTATTGGTATATAAGAAATGCAACGAGACGGAATGTAGGCCAGAATAAACTCCCATACCTGTGATAAGCTAATTCAGGAAAAATAAAAATTTTCCAGGTCATTTTTCTTTCACATTAAAAACCAAAGCAGCTTTGTTGAGTCCCACAGGATATTAAAATATGTATATTTTTATAACCTAGATTACTACTGATTAGAGACTATCAGTGAGAAAATGTGCAGTTTTTCAGCCACTACAACTGTATTTCTCAGACTGCTGAAGTGCTGCAGGTTCAAACAAGCGTGGGAGACAGGACAGATCCCTATTCCACTCTGGAGTCACAAAAGACATTAGCACATCTAAGTCTCTGCAAGGTCCTCTAACAAAATATCAAACTGTTGCTTCTGTTTAGCCTAGCATATTCTTCCTGGAGCACAGAGCACCTTCTTTGGCAGCACATTTAGAACATCAGTTGGAAAACACAACTAAAATATGATACATTCTAATGAAAAGTATTTTTCTAAATTTTCACCCTAAAATTAGACTGCAAGCTACTTTGCATACCTAAGTCAGTATCCCCAGGCCAAAGGGCTCATTCATTACTGTTCTAGACAAACAAGTTTTCTCTTTAGCAACTTTATAACAACAAAATTTCATTTAGCCTTTGCGGACTTGGGTAAAGAAGCATTTTGGAAGAACCATGACCAATGAACAGACTTACCTCCCGCTTCTAACTGAACTCCTGGAGTCAAGTGAAGAAATTCTGGTTTCATGCTTACTCGGGAGCCAGAAATAAAACCAAACACAAATTCAGAATGCTCCTCAGCCATTCTAACCTAAATGGAAGGTAATAGGACAGATTACAAGAAAGCAGTTAACCACACAGAATAATAACTCTACAAGTAAAGTAAAAAACTGGCTGTATTAACTAGTAAGAAACTGCTATTTTATGGATGTCTTTCCTCATTTCATATTAAATTCATTATATCTAACACAGGTAATCTTAGCTATGAATCTACATACTTGCTCCATTAACCTTCTCTCTCCCTTTCTCCCAATTAACCATACCCTAAAAACACAGTGTCCATACTATACTATAGTAAATCCTATATAACTATGGTGGTCTAGAATCTAGATGCTGCATCATTACTTACTTTTAATAATGCTTGGGAACCCACCTACTTCCATAAAGGATATGAGGAAAGTACTCTAGAATAATTTCTAAACGGTATAAAACTACATTGAAGACTTACTGCCTATTATACAGGGGGCTCCATAGTCAATGATAGCTATGTTGTCAAGAGCTAAAGAAATCTCAACTCTACTGCTTTCCCTCTTCTTTAATATTTGCTATAATTGGTCTCCATAATTTCTATATCATTACCCCACATTCATAGAAGTTTCTCTAGAAGGTTTGACTTCATTTGGCTCTTCCCTGAGACTTACACTGTTCTGTTCTTGCCACCAGGACTACTACCTACCAGAAAGTGATGTCTGTTGTGAGAATTGGGAAATCAGTTGTTTATGGACACAGTTCAGGTGTGGGGTTAAAACCTGGTCCTAGGGCCATGTGAATTCTTCAGTTCCATACAGAGTATTTGAAATAACAAAATATCTGTAAAGGTGATCTATCCAACTATGAAACTTTTTTTTTTTAAAGTGAACTTTTATTTTTATTTTTATTTATTTATTTTTTTTTAAAAAATATATTTTATTGATTTTTTAGAGAGAGGAAGGGAAAGAGATAGATAGCCAGAAACATCGACGAGAGAGAAACATCGATCAGCTGCCTCCTGCACATCTCCCACTGGGGATGTGCCTGCAACCCAGGTACATGCCCTTGACCGGAATCGAACCTGGGATCCCCCAGTCCGCAGGCCGACGCTCTATCCACTGAGCCAAACCGGTTTCGACCAACTATGAAACTTTTTAACTAGTTAATTATCCTCTCATTTTATTCTGGAATGTAAGGGTGGGTGCTGGATATTAAGTGCAGTGTTATAAAAACTTTTACTAATGGGGAGTTACTGGAGGACACAATATGTTTCCAGCTCTTCAATTTCAACTCATGTTGAGATAAAAAAACAACTCTATCTTAAAGGCCAGGTAAGCGTGGCAAATGTTTATCTGACCAAATATCTGTTTCAATGTTTCTCTCTTGGGTGTACAATTCAAATCTCTTAAGTGTTCACCACAAGATATAAAATGCTATTAACTACCAGAGAATTCTAGCCAATGAGTATTAATATACTGTCACATTAACAGCAGCTTTTTTTTTTTTTTTTTTTTTTAGCAGTTTCATAGACCCAAAAAGAAGATATTTTCTTCCTCTAGAACATGTGGTTTACAGCCCAGTCCCTCTGTCACTTACCGCTGCTTTAGTGTAGTTCCCAGTGGCCAAGGAGCCAGCGGAGCTCATTTCCGCAATGAGCAGGCACCCCCGGTGCAGAGACTGGCCAACTTCTTGCAGGCCTTTCACAACTCCTGAGCCTGGCACCACGTGAGCATTTACTACATCTGCCCAGGAAGCTATTTTAAAGACACCACCTAAGAAAGAGGCAAAAAGGTATTTCTTAAATTTCACACAAAAACCTTTAACATTTTGCCCAAACAAGTAGAGTATGAAATAATGTCTTAGTAACATGTTAATGAAATAGTGAAACACTTCAAGAATTTTAGTGTTTCAGTGGACTTATGTATGATTCTAAGTGCGAAAAATTTATCCACCTAGTAGCTAGTTGAGATCACAGTGAGAAAATTCTTGCAAGTTCTGTACTTAGTTTACAAGCAACACTAAACAGTTCTTTCTTGCAGGCTGAAGCTGTGACCAATAAAACTTATGCAATTAGAAATGAACCCCAGTGAAGATGGGTGTTTATGAAGGTCAAAGATATCAACATTTGGAAATTCCTCCGAAGATGACAAATTTTCATTCTGCAGGGATCTCATAGCAACTTTACCATTTCTCAAATCTTCTACTTGTTCCTAAGGTCTCTTTCGGTCTTCAAGTATCAATAAGCAATTATTTTCATTTAAAATGCTAACGGCAATAACCCTAATTGATTTTTTAAAGACTCTATGTTAACCTGTAGAAAGTTTATATAACTCTTATATTAGTCAACAAAAGAGGACATGTGAGGCACATAAAAAGAAAACATGCTTATAGACAAATCTATCCCAAAGAAATAGCTTCAGTATAAGCATGCATCACTTAAAAAAAACCTCAAAAGATGTCTATAAATGTTAATAACATGATAAAATAAATATAAGGTTAAGTGAAGAAAAAGCATTAGATATGTACACTATGGCAGAAATTTGCATAGAAGGATAGGTAGAGAATTAAGCTATTTTTTCAACCAACATATGCTCTATTTCGAGTTTAACAAAATATTTTTAAAAGAATGTGTACCATCAACAAAACTTGTTCTGCTAAAAATAAATTTTACAACTTTATACTACTTTTTCATTGTTTCCCACAGCTGCAATTTTCATTCTTCAAATAACAGAATTCACTATTTTGCCATGCCCAACCTCTGTCATTTTTGCCTGCTTAGACCCTATGTTCCTATCTTCTGGCATCAGCACACCTTTTTTTTTTTTAAGGGGAACTACCCTTTACCAGATCTTGGTTTAAGAAGTTTATACAGAATTAACCACCTCACATTACCTACCAGGAGTGGGGCAAATTATACAGGCGTTAGCTATATCTTTAGCTATTCTATACCCAGTGACTGAATACCCAGTGACTGAATTGGGGTAGGCATGTGGACTGTGCCTACCTGAGAAGGAGGAAGGAAGAAGGCAGAGCTAATAGAAGAGAAAGCAAGTCCAAAAAACATCACTTGAGCTCCTGGATCCAACCATGCTTGTCAGCCTGTTCTCTGGATGGACTTTCAGTGATGTGAGCCAATACATTTCCCTTTTTGCTTCAGCAGATTCCTGAATAATACTTACCTTCATACTGCTTTTTTACTGTGTTTCCTATGTCCGCAAATTTCCGGTCTTCAAATATTAAGAACTCATGGTGTTTTGCCAGAGTTGTTAACTCCTTCATCACATCCAGAGTAAAATCATTCAAAATATCTACGTGAGTCTTGAGCATGCAGATGCTGGGTCCTAAAGCATCTGCTAGCTGCAACAGCTCTCTGGACTCCGAAATGTCAGCAGACAGACACAGATTGGTCTCCTTCTTTTGCATAAGCCTGAGCAGCTTGGATGCAACTGGGTGGATCCCGGGCAGCTCTGCACGTGCACCAAAGCTGAGTTCTTCAGGTGCTTTCTTTATAGACGGGAGAGAACCATTCTGATCAGATGCCACAAAAACATTCTCCTGAATAAATTTCTTCACTCTTTCAACCATCTCAGCATCAATTTTTTTCTGTTGCTCAAGAATCTCCAGCACTTTGGACAATGTACACACTGAGTGGAGATGAAGCCCATGAGCCTGCAGCTTATCCTTGCCTCCCTGCTCTCTGTCCAGCAGCACTATGACATCCGTGACCTTCAAGCCCTCCTTCTGAAGAACCTCAACAGTTTCCAAAACACTAGATCCACTGGTAACGACATCTTCAATGATCAAACAGTTTTCTCCTGGATTAATAGCCCCTTCTACAAGACGTTTAGTACCTGGACAAGAAAGAATTACATTGATTCCAATTTAATATTTCATCAACTCAAGATGTATCTTACAAAATAAATCTGCATGTATTTATGAAGAGGTGGATAATCTAAATCTTATTTTCTGAAAAACTACATTGGAACAACTTTATTTCTGATGAATCTTCAATGTTTTATAATTACTGTTTTATCCAATGTCTAGTATCCCAAAATTGTCAGTTACAGATACAGAATATTTACAGTAAAACTAGCAAATTATTTTGGATTGTAAATAAAAACTCTTAACATGTTTATAATCAAAGTTTCAAATATGGGGTTTCTTAAAGCAAGATAACCTAGATCAAGGAAAGTGATGAAACAAAGAATAACACAATATTCTCAATGAAATCATTCCTTTTTCCATCAACAAACCAGTTCATAACTCAAGATCAGCCAGAAAATTGGCCTTTGCATATATAGATTCAGGAGAGAAAATACTCAGCAACCATTTAGACCAATCATTACAACTTTATAAATTATATAATGCAATGTGACTAAATATATTTTGCCATTCCAACTCCAAGATAGATTCTTTTCAGATAATCTACAAAATGTAAATAACTCAGGCTGAAGACTTTACAGACTCATTTTTAGACTCATTTTTCTGTTTCCCACTACCAAAATTGTCTAATTTTGAAACAGAAATAGAATTGGTGACCATTTTGCCCACTTTTTGAGCTTTACCACACACAGATACCATCTTTGCCTTTTTCCCATTCCTTTCCTATTGAAGAATTGGCAAGTTTCACTGAGTCAGCTTGGACTAGAACGCAAGACTGCGAGTATTTATAGGCATATTTAAAAATTAACGATCTTATTCTAAGAAATATTTTTTGAAGACAAATCATAAGGAAATATAAATAATAGCTTCCTTGTGGGCAGAGATTCATACAGATAAACAGTGTGCCTTCAAGCAGCATATCTTCTTACTATTTTTTAAGTAGACAATGTCAAACAAAACTAGCCAAACTAGTTTAACAAAACACCAATAAATACAGCACTTCCACTTAACAACTCCTGGTCAATCTTGTTTCAGCTATATCCCTTCTCCCTTTCTCCCCCCATAGTTTTCAGAAGCAACTCTCAGAAATCATGATTTCATCATAAAAATTTTTAGAATGCATCTATAAAAGGATTCTTTTAAAAAAATAACAGAAATACTATCACATCAACACAAAGCAAAACCCATTGCTTCCTTAATATAAAAAAATGACCCTAACCGGTTTGGCTCAGTGGATAGAGTGTCGGCCTGCAGACTGAAGGGTCCTGGATTCGATTCCCATCAAGGACACATGCCTGGGCTGCGGGCTCGATCCCCAGTAGGGTGTGTATAGAAGGCAGCTGATCAATGATCTTCTCTCATCATTGATGTTTCAATCTCTCTCTCCCTTTCTGAAATCAATAAAAATATATATGTTTTAAAGAAATCAAATATGAAATTCCAATATTTTTAGGTTAATTTGGTTTTAAAGCAAACCCACATATTTAAAACATCCACCTAATAATTTATTGCCCATGAAAAAAGTATCTTCATTAAGAACTTCATGTGGCATTTATATTGTTTTGAGTAATTTTATTTATGTATATTTCTTCATGTAATTTAAATATTAATATACTGGGAAAGTACTCTTAGAACACACTGCTGACAAGAGAAGGGCTGGTAAAAATGTTGGATCTCACAGCTATAGTGCAAAAAACAAAAAACAAACAAACAAACAAAAAACCCCAATGTTTTTCGTTGCCATTTTACCTCTAGACTCTAAAGCAGTGGTTCTCAACCTGTGGTTCGCGACCGAATGACCCTTTCACAGGGGTCACCTAAGACCATCGAAAAACACATATATAATTTACATATTGTTTTTGTGATTAATCACTATGCTTTAATTATGTTTAATTTGTAACAATGAAATTGGGGGTCACCACAACATGAGGAACTGTATTAAAGGGTCGCGGCATTAGGAAGGTTGAGAACCACTACTCTAAAGGAAAGGAAGGTGATTTATAGCAATAGTTGCCATAACAACTTAAAGGACCTATGGTGTAACAGCAGTGCCTAGAAGAAGAAAAAATTCTAGCAGTGTGAGGTTACCGTAATCCTTTGTTTCTTTTCTTCTAATGAGCATCGGGATTTGGTTAGTTGAACAGATAACTGTAGCCAATGGTAAAGCTGTGTAAGGGACTCCACAGACAGTGTCAAAACTGATCCCCGCATTTTGAGCAGTTTGAAATAAAAGTTCTGCAACCTGTAAAAAAACAACAACAAAAAACAGAACACATGAACTATTACTGTTCTATTTTAAACTGTGTACAAATAAGGTAGCATAACCTTAAAGACAGTAGGAAATAGTCTCAAACCTGATTAGAAAACTACAAATGCCTTTTTGTTAAATCACCCTCTGCATAAACCCATTTACAAATATAAAAACGAAACAACTAGTCTGCTCTTCTAAACTCAGGGTCTGTTCTGAGGACAATATAGGATGTGTAAGGGAAGCTATGATGTTGACCCCAAGGACTAAAGATGGCCCCCAAGGTTCCCAGTTTCCTTTGGTAATCCATATATTTTCAGTATTTAAACCTATTACCTACTAATTGTATTTTCTTCCTGAAAAAAGTCTTCAGTTATGAAGGTTCATAACAACAATTAAGAAAACAATTCCATTTGAATAAGGAACAAATTTTTTTTTTTAATATTTTTTTATTTTTCGCTTAAAGTATTACAAAGGGTATTACATAAGTGTCCTTTTTTTCCCCCCCGCCCTTGACAAACCCCTACCCTCCCTTACCCCCCAGTGTCTTATGTCCATTAGTTATGCTTATATGCATGCATACAAGTCCTTCGGTTGATCTCTTACTCCCCTCCCTCCTGCCCCCCAACTCTCTCTGGCCTTCCCACTGCAGTTTGGCAATCAGTTTGAGGCAGCTCTGCCTCTGTATCTATTATTGTTCAAAAGTTTGTAATGGTCTTTATTATCCATGAATGAGTGAGATCATGTGGTATTTTTCCTTCATTGACTGGCTTGTTTCACTTAGCATAATGCTCTTGAATAAGGAACAAATTTAACCAAGGAGGTCAAAGACCTGAATACTGAAAACTATAAGATAATGATGAAAGAAATTGAAGACACAAATAAATGGAAAGATCTTCTATACTCATGGATTGGAAGAACTAATATTGTTAGAATGTCCACACTACAAAAACAACCTACATATTCAATGCAACCCCTATCAAAATTCCAATGGCAAGGGGCAAAGTCAATGCGGCAGAGCAGGGGCCCTGGCCTGGTAGCTCACTTATCAGAGCACTGTCCTGATACACCAAGGTTGCAGGTTCAATCTCCAGTCAGAGCACAAACAAGAAGAACCAATAAATGCATAAATAACATGAACAACAAACTGATGTCTTTCTGTCTGTCTCTCTCTAAAAATCAATGTAAAAAAAAAAAAAAAAAGATGACAGAGTAGTTAAATCCTGAACTCACCGTCTCCCATGAACATATGAAAATTACAACTAAATTACAGAACAACCATCACTGAGAATCACCTAAAACAACAGTTGCCAACCTTTCGGACCTCGCAGACTACCAGTTGGTGACCGCTGACCTAAAGACTAGCTGAACAGAATTCTGAAAACGAAGGATAGAAAGAAATCACATCAAGACAAGTAGGAAGGGTGGAGGCACAGACTGGGGAGCTCCCACATCCACAGTGTAGGGATTATTAAAAAGGGAGGATAGCTAGGTTATGGAGGTCCCCTCTGGAGTGAGGGGTCCAAGCCTCACCCCTGGCTCCCCTGCCCAGGGTACCTGAGCCAGGAAGAATACCCATATAACATCTGGTTTTGAGAACCAGCGGGGATTGTGCCCCAGAAAGACAAAGGGTTATGGGAGACTGAGATGCTGCTCTTAAAGGGCTTGAGTACAAACTTGCTCTCCAAGCTCCAGTACAGAGGCAGCAGCTTGAGAAGCACCTGGATCATAAGGGGGAGGAATTCAACTGACTCACTTTAGGGTATGTGCTGGAGGAGCAGGAACTGGGAGAATCCTCACAGGGGACGGAAGTGCTGGCAAGCACTATTGTTCCTTTGTTCAGCTCTCCTCACCCCCAGCTGGCCTGGCATGGGCAGGTACATAATATGCCACTCTTCATTAGCCTGGCTAACACAAACCACCTGCCCTGGCATTGTCCCGAGACATTACCCCACTCAACCTACTTGCCTAGCCGGAGCCTCTTCCAAAACAGCCTCCCTGGGCTTGCCCTCCAGGCTCTCCCAAAGGTCCACCAATCCCACAAGTAGCAAGCAGCCTCAGCCTGCACTGTAGCTCCTCCCAAGTGGCCCCAAGCCTGGCACACGTGACGGCCAGGCTTGGCTTGCAACATGGATCCCACCAATCAGTTACAAGCCCAGAAAGGCGGCAGCCAGCCGTAGCTAGCATCTTAGCCTCTCCCAAGTGCCTACAAGCCCAGCACAAAAACACTGCTGAAATGTACAAGCACCGAGCCCCTCCCAAGCAGCTTCACAACCGACACACCCGATAGGTAGTTTTGCCTGGCACCAGAGCATTGCTCCCTGGGGTGAGTCTCCGCACAACAGCCTGTCCACTGTAGTCAAAGCAGGCCCTTACAGCCAGTTAGCCCAAGGGTCAATCCTGCCCACAGACGTGCCAGCAACAATTGAGGTTCAACTGCCACAGGAAGGCACACACAACCTACAGAGGGAACACCCCTGGAGCACCTGGCTCCGGTGACCAGGGAGAACTGTGCTCTGGCCCCACAGAACACCTTTTATAAAAGCCGCTCTTTCAAGACCAGGAGATGTAGTGAGATCTACCCAATACATACACAAACAAACAGAGAGTCAGCCAAACTGAAGAGACAAAGAAATGTCATCAAAAGAACTAAAGCAATCTAACAGATAAATAGTTCAAAACATCTATAATAATAATAAAAGGGTAATAAATATGCTAATTAGACCAGATGCCATTCCGGATGTCCTTCCAGATGAAGCCGGGACCAGAGTGAAGCCCGGGTCCCGGGTGCCTGGTGGCGGCCAGAGGGAAGCATAGGTCCCGGGTGCCGGAGGGAAGCTGGTGCCGGCAGCCAGGGGAAGGAAGGCCTACTCTTGGGCCTCTAGATGGTAATAAAGATGCTCAATGAACTCAGGATAATAGGTGAACTCAGGGAGACTTCAACAAACAGATCTAGAATATTAAAAAGAACCAATCAGAAATGAAAGATAGAATAACTGAAATGAGCCCTGGCAGGTTGCTCAGTGGTTAGAGCATCAGCCCACAGACTGAAGGGTCATGGGTTCTAGTCTGGTCAAGAGCACGTACCTTGGTTGCAGGCTCAATCCCCAGCCCTGGTCAGGGTACGTGCAGGCAACCAATTGATCTCACATCAATGTTCCTCTCTCTGTGTCTCTCCCCCTCCTACTCTCTCTAGAAATTAATGGGGGGAAAAAATCCTCAGGCGAGGACTAACTAAAAATAAATGAAATGAAAAATTCACTAGAGGAACTCAACAGCAGATTGAATGAAGTAAAAGATCGAATCGGTGCTCTGGGACACAAGGTAGCAAAAAACAGTTGAAACAGCAAAAAGAAAAAAGAATTTTTAAAAATGAGGATAGTTTAAGGGACCTCTGGGACAACACTGCCTGGCCGGCGTGGCTCAGTGGTTGAGCGTTGACCTATGAACCAGGAGGTCATGGTTCGATTCCCAGTCAGGGCATGTGCCCTGATTGCAGACTTGATTCCCCTGGGGGGCATTCAGGAGGCAGCCAATCAATGATTCTCTCTCATCACTGAGGTTTCTATCTCTCTCCTTTCCTCTCTGAAATCAATAAAAATATATATTTTTTAAAAAGAGTATCAACATTTGCATCACAGGGATCCCAGAAACTAAATGAGAGAAAAAGGGACAAAAACTGATTGAAAGAAATGATTGAAAATATCCCTAACCTGGCAAAGGAAATAGACATATTAGTCTAGGAAGTGCAGAGTTCCAAACAAAATGAACTTGAAGAGGCCCACATCAAGACACATCATAATTAAAATGCCAAAAGTTAAAGACAAAGAGAGGATCTCAAACGCACCAAGAGAAAAGCAGATAGTTACACACATAGGAGTTCCCATAAGACTATAAGCTGATTGCTCAACAGAAACATTGAAGGTCAAAATGGATTGGCATGAAATATTCAAAGTGATGAAAAGCAAAGACATACAAACAAGATTCCTCTACCTAGCAAGGCAATCATCTATAACAGTGGTTGCCAACCAGTGGTCTGTGGACCCCTGGTAGTCCGTGAGGTCCGAAAGGTTGGCGACTGCTGATCTATAATCAAAGAAGAGATAAAGATTTGTCCGGATAAGTAAAAGCTAAAGGAGTTCATCACCACCAAACCAGTATTACCAGAAATGTTGAAGGAACTTCTTTAAAAAGAAACCATAAAAAATGTGAATTAGAAAATATAAGAACAATTCTCACCGACAAAAACAGAGTATTTATAGCAGAACCAACTATAAAGCTAGTAAGAAAATTAAAAGGCAAATGTAGGAAGATCATGTGGAATTACAACAATAAATTAAGGAATACAAACACACAGAAGTAAAAAATGACAAGAACATAAATGTGTGTGGGGATGTAGAAATTATAGTGGTTTTAGGATGTGTTTGAACTTAAGCAACTGTCAACTTACAATAGGCTGTTATAAATATAGCTTGGTATAATGAAGTACGCGGTAACCATAAGCCAAAAGTCTACAAGAAATAAAGAGAAAGGAATAAAAAAACACACACACACACAACACTACAGAAAATCATCAACATAGAAAAGAGCAAAAGAACAAGAAAGGAACAGAGAAGAACTACAAAAACAATCAGTAGCCCTAGCCGATTTGGCTCAGTGGATAGAGCGTCAGCCTGCGGACTGAAGGGTCCCAGGTTCGATTTCGGTCAAGGGCATGTTCTTTGGTTGCTGTCTCCTAGCCCTGACTCAGGGCAACCAATCGATGTGTCTCTTTCACATCAGTGTTTCTGTCTCTCCCTCTCCCTTCCACTTTCACTAAAAATCAATGGAAAAAATATCCCCAGGTAAAGATAAAAAAATTTTTTAAATCAGTAAACAACTAATAAAAAGGCAATAATTACATACCTGTCAATAATTACTTTAAATGTAAATAGACTAAATGCTCCAATAAAAAAGACATAAGGTTGTTAAATGGATTTTTTAAAACACACACA